CCCCCCCCCCCCCCCCCCCCCCCCCCCCCCCCCCCCCCCCCCCCCCCCCCCCCCCCCCCTGTTTTTTTTTTTCCCCCCCCCCCCCCCCCCCCCCTTTATTTATTTGGTTAGTTGGTTGTAATAGAAAATGTTATATCCAATTATAAAAGAATGCAAAAAGAGAATACACTCTTTTTTTCAGATTATTTCTTTAATATAAGTAAATATTTTATCTTCCTGCACTGGCTGCTTTAACCTATTTATAATTAAAAAGAAGTGGGGAAAAAAATACACTTGTTCAAAAAATAGCATAAATATTAATTATGCAATTGAATCAGAGAAGGCTGCAATTAATCTTTATTTTTCATGGCCCAACAAAGGTTTTGAGATGACAACTGGCATTCAAACACATCTTGGTTATAAACTGCTGTTGTTGGTAAGATTATAACATAATGGCAAAAGAGACCTGACTTCACATAAAAAGACAACTCTGTTTGTGAAACTTGAAATTAAGCATATTTGAACATTAGAAATATGATATGATGGGCATTTCACTGCTGCTCTGAACGATTTGTCAAGTGTGGTTTATTTGATCACTTCACCCTCCCAAAGGCAGATGAAATGGCTATTAGATGAAGAATTTAAAGTCCCCATGAAATCAAAATGAAAGTTTTTTGGGTGTTAGTATCAATATGTTAGTCTTAAGGTTATCTATAAGGCAGTGTGCTCCAAAACAGTGACAAAATTCGCATTTAGAAGATATAAGCATTCAAAGCTTGCAGTTCATCACTTCCGCCAAAACGGCTCAACGATTTTTTTGACGTCACATCGTACTTCAGCTTCTCATCAAACTTTCTGTCCAATCAAATGCTCTCTAGAATCCGAAGCGCCCGCCCCCTACACTATAAAATAGACGCTGAAGCCGCGGCTGAAATCGGTCACTTGTCCACAGAATTAGTATTTTCTGTACAGTGAATGGCACGTAGTGCACTATATAGGGGACAGGGAACGATTCAAACAATGTAAATATGCTTTCCATTGAGGAAAAAAAGAAGTCTGGTTTCGGGCTGTGTCACGCTAACCATCGCACTGCACACACACTCTGCAGCATTCAGTGTTTTATAATGGCACTGTTTCGCAGTCTGTTTGAGTGCATTCAATGTTTTGTTCACCGCATACCCAGAAGGAGAATAAAAACGGGGTGCAGAAGTGGACAAAACCAGAATGGGCCCCAATGGAAGGGGTGAGTAGGCCCTTTGATGTTAGCAATATTGGCCAGATAAAGACAAACATGAAAGAAGAGATAGAAAAAGATCAAAAGGATGAGATGATGATGAAGGGACGGAGTGAGAATGAGGAAAACAGGTAGGCTGAAGAAAGAAAGAGAGACAGGCAGTCTAGAAAAGACAAAGATTATGGTAACAGGAAGTGAACATGAGACAAACTGAGAGGATAAAGAAAAGAGAAACAAAAAGATGAAGGAAGAGGAGACCAAAGACCCAACTCCATTACGTATTGAGGTCAAACCCCAACCAACTCCACCAGCCGCTGAGATCAAAACCCTGGCTGGTTCTTCCTTCATAAAGTCATCAGTGAAAGAACCATTGGTGGCTAAAAGGGCCCCTCGACACCTGCCTCCTCTGGCCACCGAGACCAGATCTCCATCATCAGGGGAAGAACCATTGCTGGTTCAGAGGGTATCTCAACACCCAGCTTTACCAGCCATTGAGGTTAAACCCCTGCCTGGTTCTTCCTCCATAAAATCATCAGTGGAAGAACCTCCTTTATCAATGGCAGAACTGCCAGTTCAAAGGGTTTCTCAACACCCATCTCCACAACCACAAGCCATCGAGAGCAGACCACTGCAATCAGTTGATAAACCACTGATGGTTCAAGGAGCCTCTAGACATTTTGCTCCAAAAGCTACTGAGACCAAACCTCTGCGTCGTTCTTTTATGGTGGACCCTGAGATGGTTCCAAAGGCATCTCGACACCTGGCTCAACCAGGCACAGAATCATTGGCGGTTCCAGACGAGCCAACTCCAAAACAAGTCATATCCATGTCCAGTTCTACATCCTCTAAGTCACCAGAGGGGGAACCACAGATGGTTTAAAGGGCCTCTCGAAACCTAGTTCCACCAGCCATCAAGACTATACCACTGCAATCAGTAGCTAAACCATTGATGGTTCAAAGAACCTCTAGACATTTTGCTCCAAAACCTACTGGATCTTTTGTGCAAGAACCCAAGATGGTTCAAAGAGCATCTCAACATCTGGCTCCACCAGCTGAAGAACCATCATGGGCAGAACCAACTTTAGAATCTCTGTCACATTCAGTGGAAGAACAATCGATGGAACAAGTGATGGTTCCTCCAAGACAAATTCATAAATGTGCTGAGGTGAAGCCGAAGTCGGCCACTTCATCACTCGTCCTAATGGACATTGAATCTGAAGAGGATGAGTTTGTGGAGCACACAGAGAGGACAATACCTTTCAGCGAGCTTGAGAAGACTAATCACGAGCAAACGCTGGAGGCTGGGGTGAAGCAGAAAGGAATGTTTGATAAGGTCCATCCTATGGTTCTGGAGCAGTTAAATGACTCTGGGAAAAATAAATGTGGTGACTCCAAAGCTGAAGCATTACAAAAAGCTAAGGAATTGGATGAACGATTGACGAGACTGTTCTGCGTAGACTACAACCATGGTCCTAAGAAAGAGAACCAACAATATTTAAAAGGTCAAGAAAAGCCTAAGAACAAAGGAAAAATAAGAGCTGGGCACAGAAATAGTTAAAAAGGCTAAATGAAGAGAAGTCAGAAAAGGATGGAAAAGCACGAAAAGACCTACTTGAAGAATTCCTAAGGGATCCAAAATCACAGTTTAACACACTGCCATATTTATAACTCACTCTCTAATGGCAAAAAAAGTGCATTTGCAGATAATATAATATTCAAATACTGAAAATTTAAGGCTACTTAAGTGTACTTAAAGAGTGTACTTTCATAACTGTGTTTTATAACACACTGACATGTACATTTTAATTCATGGTTGTTGTTGTGCTTTAAAGTAGAATACTTATGTTGATGTAATAATAAAGCATATGTAAAATAATTTATTTTAAT